AGGTTCATATAGACCCATTTGTGCAGTAATAATAGGATCATATAGATCCATATGTGCATTAATAAAAGGATCATACAGATCCATTTGTGCATTAATAAAAGGATCATACAGAGCCATACATGTGTGCATTAATAAAAGGATCATACAGACCCATATGTGCATTAATAAAAGGATCACACACACCCATACATGTGTGCATTAATAAAAGGATCATACTACCTACAAATGATGGAGCAGCTTGCTCAGAGGCAGAACTATGCAGTTTTTAAAGGGCACAATACAAAACTTCTTCTCTTCTATCACTTGCACCATTTTTATGCTTTCAAAGCACTTCTCAAATATTAATTAGCTCTAAATAAATTCTAATTATTTCTAAGAGTGGCCCTAGCAGATCTGTATCATCTGGTGTGAAATCTGACTTCAGTGAAGTCAACAGCAACAGCTCCTGAGACCTCAGCCGAGCTGCCATTTCCCTTGCCATTGCTGAGATCTGGGAGCTGTGTCTATTATCTGCTGAGTGCCACAAGGAGGGCTGACCCAGCAGCAGCAACCAGTGACAGGGTGTGGGATGAGAAGGACAGAAGGGTTAAATGACCTGAGCCCGTCTGGGGAGCCCAAATGTGGGAGAAGCTCTGGGAAATGCAGCAATCAGACTCTCTTTGATTTCAGCATCAGTGAAAGGTGCTCACCTGCTGCTAAAACCAGTTTAAATAGTTGGGATACTGGGTCAACTCCTCAAATCTGCTCATGCTGCCAGTCATTAACTTAGTCAACAACTAACCTTGAAACATCAGTCCTTTAAAAAAAGATTTGCATTATGTATCTATCTAAAAATTACACATTATGTGTATCATAAGATACATGTGAAGAGGTGTGCATGAAAAATGCAAAAACCTTAAATTTCAAATAGCATGAATAACTAAATACAGGGCAAATAAGTATGTAATCAGTATTTACCTTTCTCACTGGGGACTATATAGCCCATCACATACTGCCAACTTTTTTTTCCTCATAAGAAAAAGTACTTCAGTTGTAAATAATAATATTAAATATTTTATACATGCAATTATATCTAGGTATGGAGGTTAAAAATTAACTGGAAGCAGAGAATATGAATCTTTTTCTCAAATAGAAATGTAATCCTAATAGAAGTTCCTCCCTTCATCTCTGCCAACTTTACCACCACACAATATGCCATAGAGAAAAGAGGGGAAGTGTCAACTTGTGTAAATTGTCCCTTATGTAATGCAAACCATCTGTTTAAAAAAACAAAACAAAATGAAAACCCAAGCCACTCCCAAGCATGATCTGCTATGGGGAAAAAGAAAGAAAAGGAAATGCAGTACATCAAATTGGAAGCCAAAGACCATGACCTGCCATGTAACCACGGAGAAAATATTTACCCCTCTCCTCCCTTTATTTACCCAATTTTGAAAAATATTTGGAAAAGCATAATTGAATCATTTGCTCTGCACATAATAGAGACTGATACTGCGGGATTCTTTTGAGCATTTCATATCTCTAGAATGTTTTCCATCAGGCTGGAGCCCAGCAGAGAAAAACTCTTTGTTTCCAACACCCCATCTCAGAGCGATGCCACCACTGGGTCGGAAGGTCCCTGGGTCCTCAGTCACTGCAACCTGGCAAAGGATGGGCACAAAGCATCAATGTGTTCTGCCCTTCCTTGGGTATCTGCCATGAAAGGAGTCCAAAGGGACCACTGCTATCAACTGTTACGATTATTTTTGTGTTCTCTTCAGTCTAAATGCTCAGAAAACAGTTTGTGTAGAGAAAGCAGTGCTCTTCTTTTCCAGCCTCTGTCTGGTGAGTGATGAGTCCTTTGGTAAGCACTGCCTGAGGAACCCACTTTTCATTCTGAAATCATTGGGGACTCACATTTCACCCTCTCTGGGGAGGCACAGGTGGGTCAGAAAGCACTGAATGAGTTAAATTAGCACAAACGTCCCTCTGAATGTGTCTCCAAAGCCAAGGAGCCACTAGCACTGCACCACTGCACCACTAGCTACTTATGAAAATATCAGTTGTTGCAATAATGTTCTCTTCTTTCTTCCCCAAATTTTCAAATCTCCCTTTTTTTTTGAGGAAAAGTATGTGAAAACTTTCATAGCTTTTTGTTCTTTGTGACTGGAACTGAATAGTCACGTGGAGTTTTTTATCATTCCTATCTGCAAGTTGTTAATGCTAATAAATAACAGAGTCATCACTAGAGAACTTCCATCAATCAGCCACAGAAAACAATTCTGAAAAATGCAATCAGTCCAGAAGGAAGGGCAGATTTTCCAAAAGGACTGGGAAGATGTGGAAGTGAGATCCATTTTTGTCAGGCACAGACACTGATTTTAAATCCCAGAAGGGCAGTCATGTACAGAAGATGCTGGTGGGGTCTTTGGAAGCTGCTAGGAGGGCTTTGCTCCCAAAAGCAAACTCAGTGAAAATCGGGCATTTAACCCATCCAGAAGCTGAGGAAATTAATCTGCTGGACATTCTCTAGATCCTAGTGCATTTGTCACTCTTAATAGGGAGGTTTAGTCTCCTAAATGACTCAGGTGGTGCTTAACAAAATTGTACCCAAAGCTCTCTGGCTCACAGACTTTGCCAAGTGGAATGACACACAGTAGGGCAAGCAAAAAAATGGGAGAAATAGTTGTAGTGGTCTGTCAAAACCATGACTTGATGTGAACATATCGTGGATTGAAGGCAGCTGGGTGGAGCTTTCCAGGTGTGGCTAAATGTGAGTTTTTGTTTACTCTAGATGCTGAGTGAAAGGAAGAAACCCTTTGGACTACTGATCACTTCTCCTCAGCCAAACATGCCAGGCAAGCACCAAACACAGAGCCGCCTTTTTCCACGGGCTCCTGCTCAGCCCTGCAGCTTGGCACGCTGCTCATCCAAGCCTCACTGCCAGGAGCAGCACAAACTTTGCTCTTTTTGCCTTTCCATTTTCAGGGTTACACAAACACCAAATCTATTTCACAGATGTGAGGAACTACAGGACTATGGTGGAGTTAATACTTCATAGATGGGAGGAACCAAGGACTATGATGGAGTTAGTATTTCATGGATGTGAGGAACCACAGGACTATCATGGAGTTATTATTCCAAAGATGTGAGGAACCACAGGATTATCATGGAATTAATATTCCGAAGATGTGAGGAACCACAGGATTATCATGGATTAAGTATTCCATAGATGTGAGGAACTACAGGATTATCATGGAGTTATTATTCCATAGATGTGAGGAACTGCAGGACCATCATGGAGTTCATGTGCACGCAGTACAAAGAAAGGAAAAACCACCTCAGCTCCTTCTAGCCAAGCTGGACCTGACTAACATGGAAACAATATCATCTGCCAGACCTGTCTGACAGCGTGCTTTGCTGACCTTTTCCAGACCCACAGTGATGGCAGCATTCACATTCAGCGTGGCTCTCAGCTACACATTCTGCAGTGTGAATCACTGAGAGGCTGAGTGTGTGAAATCACTGGAAGAACTGAATGAGACCATGTTTTGGCACTGCAGCTCTGAGGGATGGGAAGTGTTTGGAACAGTATTTGCAACAGTGGTCCCAGTCTGTAAAATATCAGGAAAAGGTGTTAGTGGCCAAAGAAACTGAGTTAGTGTTCAAGTACTTGCCTGTGATGTTCGGAAGCTGAGAGAAATCTGAAATTGTGGGCTAAGCCAGCTTTACTAAAGAAATCTTTCTATTCTAAGTGTACAAAAAATGCAGCAGTGGCAAGTGCTGAGTAACTCAAACCAACTGATGAATTAATGAGTTAGTCAAGGATACAGATGGGTACAGTGACATGGACACAACAAACGCCCAAAGCAGAGACAGAGAAGGGTGGAACAAGCAAGTCCTGGATAACTCCATAGAAAACTGATGCAGAAGAGTTCTACAAGTGCATGAAAACAAGTCCGTGAAATTCGTGCTCTAGCTAAGTTTATTCCCAGAAATAAAGTTCCTTCATTATTTCTTAACTTGTACTTATCCTCATCATGTTGACAGGAAGATGAAAACCTATAGAAGGCTTAAATAAAATATAAAAAAAATCTGCAGAATGCAGAGAACAATACAAATCTTTCAAAGATTAAAACAAGTAGATGCTATATTTTTAAGTGTTAGGCTCTCACAAATATCCTCAGAGTTTGTGTTAGTCCATCAAACTGAAAGGCATATGCTATCTTTGATCTCTGTGCAGAGCCTCCGTTGAGATTAATGTGAGCTCTGTGTGAAGAAAGAGACTAGAATAGGCCCTCAGTTCACAAATAGCAAGCAGTCTGCTCCAGGAAAAAACATGTTTTCTTACAACAGTGTTGAAATTTATTGGGAAGTTTCAAATAGCTTCTCTTCAGATGCAAGTTTGTGGTCATGAGCATGTTCGCTTGTCAGAAAGTCCTGTCAGGGAGAAGGTGCACAAACGCAGCTCTTGTGTCAGATGTTTGGCTGTTGTGTAGGAACACATCCCTCATCTCTGACAGCCTTTTCTCATGCTGTAACAGCCAATCCCCTGTTTCTCACTCATCCCTGCGTGCTGATGGCTCTGTGCATGGACAGGGTGCTATTTCACACAGCCTGTGTCCTGCAGTGCCCACTCCAGGTAAAGGAATGCCCCAGGAGCCGGGACAGGTGCTATTTCACACAGCCTGTGTCCTGCAGTGCCCACTCCAGGTAAAGGAATGCCCCAGGAGCCGGGACAGGTGCTATTTCACACAGCCTGTGTCCTGCAGTGCCCACTCCAGGTAAAGGAATGCCCCAGGAGCCGGGACAGGTGCTATTTCACACAGCCTGTGTCCTGCAGTGCCCACTCCAGGTAAAGGAATGCCCCAGGAGCCGGGACAGGTGCTATTTCACACAGCCTGTGTCCTGCAGTGCCCACTCCAGGTAAAGGAATGCCCCAGGAGCCGGGACAGGTGCTATTTCACACAGCCTGTGTCCTGCAATGCCCACTCCAGGTAAAGGAATGCCCCAGCACTTACTGCATCCCGCCTTGTAGCTGAAGCCAGGAGGAAGGAGGAATCCTTGCTGGGCAGCTGCTGCCAGGGTGCGCTGGTCTGGAGGGAACACGGGGATCATCAATGGAGGCAGCTGACCCTGGACCTGCTGAACAGAGAGGGACAATCAAACACACTATTTGGGGGGGACGAGGTCTGCAATGTGCTTTCCTTCACTGCTGGTCTGAATTCACCTCTTCATGTTGGGGTGCTCCAGCAGCATCAGCTCTGGGGCTTCATCTTCATCACCAAACACTTCATGTGAATGACATGAACCCAAAATAAACTGAAATGTTTCACTAAGGCATATCTACATCCCACTTAATTATTCCCCCCACAGCTCATGATGGCTCACTTATCTCTGGCTGTAGGGGGCTGCTTCCTTCTCTTTCACTGAACTGAGCAGCAGTATCTGTGTCAGACAGTAGCTCCCACCCTGACCAAGCCCAAACACAGAGACACCTCCTCAGAAAGGAAAAATAAGTGCACAAGTAGCACGCAGCACAGCCAGTGCTATTTTCCTGCTCAGACCCGTGCACTCATTTGTACATGTGAAAAGATAAAGCCCCAAAAAAAGGCTGAGAGCCTTTACTCACAAATCCAACAGCCATGTCTGGAGACTTACGCGTTCAACTTTGCACAGCAACTCTACACAAGCATAAAGTCAGGAAGTGGAAAATATTATATTGTAAGTGGATACTGCAGGGGACTAAAGCCATGCAGAAATTAGTCATCAAAGCTGGAAGTGGGCCATGGCACAATGTCTACTGCTGCTGCTTTTACCCTGTTCCGTTAATAGCTTCTATAATTGATAGAAATGGAAGCTGTCTCTGGATTTCACAAAGTTTGCCGGGTTAAAATGCTGAATGAATAGTTCCAATTTAAAACCCCCACTGCACTGACCAGATCACTCAGTCAAGAAGGACTGATCCATTTTTAAGAGAGCTCATCCAGATTTTAATGGCACTGTAAAGCTGAGGCATTGGAGATGGAGATGTCTTTGAAAACTACAATTTATTTTGTGGTTTAAGTAACTCAGAAAATCAGAGTATTAACAGAGAACTTTCTATGCTGAAGGGCACACAAAGGTGTCACTCCCTTCACTGTTGCCTGACAGCAGAACCTGCCCCAGCCCTTGGCTGCCACTGCTCAGAATACACCATTTACACTTCATTCTATTTCCATTTATTCTCCTTAAAATCCAGGCCACGTCTTGGTTCACCCAACACCGTTACCAGGCAAAACAGTGATACAAAATTTGGGATTACCATCCCTTTTAATTTATGCTGGAGCTGGCAACACCCCTGTGTGTGCTGACTGTGTCTGTATGGTCTGAAACAGTTTTCAAGGATAGAGTTCAAGAGCACTGTTGACAGAAATCCTTGCAGTGAAAGATTAAGATTGAGCCTGAAACACAGAGTAGATGTAGCTCCACTCACTGAACCAGCTTGATCCATTTTTTGTTACTTCAATATTTGCCTTTCTATTCTGATCCTGTTAATTAGAAGGCATACATATTTTCAGCTGAAGTACAGGATAAAACCCATATAAAATGTGATTTGTTCTCTATCTGCACAGATATCCTAGAGCTGTCCAATACCTGCCTTTTCTTCACGTGTTCATTTTTTGTTTGTTTTGTTTGAGGTTTTGTGGTTTTTTTTTTTGCTTTTTTTTTTAAGACAAAGACAAAGTAACTGTATTCTTTTAGAACAAAAATGAACAGCCATGCGGAATTTTTGCATAGTACTCTTCTTCGGCAAAAAGCCACAGAACTTTTTTTTTTAAATGGTTTCCAAGGATGAAAGTGACTTTGCCAAGCGAAGAAGCTTCAAAACAGGACTCAAAAAACACTAATAGAAAGACAGATGGTTCTACTAAGTGCTTTGCTGCCAAAAAAAATGTTAAAAAAAAGTGAAAAAAATGGAGTGATGTTATTGAAGCTGACTGCAAAGTTCTCTGATGACTGCAAATACTCTTGTCCCACTGCAAGTGTTAACTCTGCCTCCAGGGCTAATATAACTGAAGCACCACACACACACAAATTGTCATTGCCAAGCCCACAATGTAGCTTAAGTCTGCACTTGATTCCAAGTGACTGCCAAACACACGAGCAAAACACCACACTGAAAAATTCCCATTTAGGAAAACATTTACCAGGAAAATGCCCTTTCTTCCTAAATCTGACTGATGCATTTCATTTTTTTTTTCCAAATTGCTGCTCCTCTTTAGCTCTCCAAGGGGCCTTATAGCCCCTCATTTCAAATGACACAACCCTGTTTGCATTAGGGAGGTAAAAACTATGGGGTGGTGAGGATGGTTTGCATGGATATAGAAATAACACAGTCAAAACAATGCGATTTTCATTCCAGGATGGAATGTATGGAGCAGCACTCGGCTACACTTCATTTTCCCCTAAACACAAATAAATGCAAACATTCGTTCATTTTAATCCGATTACCTGACACAATATCTCACAAATTGTGGACTCTTCATTTTTATGGCTCATATAACTACTACATTTTAACTTGTTATGCTTATTATTATTATTAACTAGAATTGCTAGGATACAACTGCCTCAAGTGGCATTGAATACAGGCCCTCCTTCTGAGTTTTACATCTAAGGTGTTTCCCTTTTTTTTTTCTTTTCAAGGTATTACTACCTCAGCTCAATCTCTCAAACGTTTTTCATTATCAGTTAAATCTCTCAAATGTTTTTTATAATCAGTTAAATCTCTCAAACGTTTTTTATTTTTATTGGAAGCTTACATACCTTCCAATATTTTCTGGATTCTAACTTCTTGATACTGCATTTCTAATTTGAATATAAAGGACTGCAAATCAGGGCTGTTTTCCAGGCCTTTCACTTTGTTCTGCTAAAGGACATATGTCCATAAAAAGAAATACCTCTTCAACAATCCAATAACTCACACAGCTGTCAAGACTCTCCCCTGGCCAGCCTCTCTACGTGTGACCTCTTCTCAGGTGTAACATCCTAAAGGAGGCAACTGTATTTTAAATCCTCACAAAATTCCCACTGGATTTAATGAGCCACAATTTTGCCTTGTAACTTCTTACCTACTTTATGACGTTATTCTGGAGGATACAGACACAATCCTCCAGGATTTTCCTGGTTTTCCATATTGTTATCACTGGGTTATCTGAGCACACTGTGAACCCTCCATTAATTTTTTTCTCTCCTCTGCCCAGATGTGTTTGGCCAGTGCCAAGTCACCACACCACACCTTCACAGCCACTGAAAATCCAAAAAAGAGCCCCCCCTAAAGAACTTATCAGTACAAAAATCAGTGTGAGCACGTGACAAGCAACCCACAGTAAATCTACTGTCCAAGGGGGAAGCACCCACAGCTGCCTGCAGAGATTTCTGATTCTGGAAAGTGCCTCAATGTATCTTTATTTGTCTCAGTGCCTTTGGAAAGTCTGGCCCTAAATGGCTTACCATAGCAAAGGGAATGTGTTGGCAAACCTGAGCCAATTCAAGCTGCTGAGGCCTGGGCCAGCATCTCCACAAATCTGTGCGTGTCCTTTATGGCCCGACCATAACGAATCCCAGCACACAAAGACACTGCAGTCACCACAGTCACAGTGAATATCTCCAGGATCCTCAGCTTCGTTATAACCGTAGTATTTCCACCTCAATTCTGCTCCCCTGTCCCCTTTTAGGAACATACTATGGTTACCACAGCTACCTAAGCACCAGGCAGCATGTTTTTAACAGTTACCCCCACTGTTTGTTACTAGCTCCTGCTGTGACTTCCACAAATTTAGATTGCAAACACTTGACAACTACAGTTCTATTTTCTGTAAAAAGTCATGTGTGCCCTGGGTCACTATGTAAATAGCTACACAGGGAAAGCAGTTTAAAGGAACATTAGGATGGCAAAGTTGGACATTTGTGGCTTAGAGAATGTCAGGATCAGGGCATGACCTTATTTTGGTTCTTCACTGCACTGCATCCAGACAGAATCCTTGAAGTTCAGGGTTTCCCCTCCATATGACTCTCAATCCAGAAGGTTTATCCCATTTCTCAAGTCACATAAATCCATACTTTCAGCAAACTAAGCCCCTAAAATAGCAGCTGCTATTAGTTCTATCTATTTTCTCCTCATACACTTCCCCCAATTTAATTTCTGCAGCTGTTCATTACATATTTATTAGCATCAACTTTTATCTAAGTTTTCCTCTCTCCAAGGTAAATATTTCAGTGCATTTCCCAGCATCTATATAGATATTTATAAATAACATTTTCCACTGAGGGGCAAATGCTGCTATGCACCCACCTCTAGTTCTTCAGAAGCAGTTCTATTCCTTTTGGTGAGACTGGTGATGGATAATGAATTACTGAGTGTGGATAAGAGCAGCTGCTAAAAACAACATTTTCCTCTCTACAACCTGACCAAACTCCGCACAGTACTTCACTCCTGAACTGCTCAGAAGCGTGGCTAACTTTTATTTTCATTGGAGTTATTCTCAGCTGCCCCAAATAAGTTCAGATTTTTCATTCCTAGAATGGTGGATGCACATGAATGATCTGATTAACTTCAAAGTGTTGTAGGAAATATCTTCCTGCTTGTGACTTGTCTGGAAGTTAAGCATCTCTCCCACTGTTCAGGGAAGAATGCAACGCACATTTCACATGCAGCAACACAAATCTGTCCCTCAAAGCTGACATGTTTAATTGCATTTGTCCCCCTTCCTCCAGAAACACTTGGCTCCCAGTGCCACACACTCTGCTGAAGGACTGCATGCTTTAATTAGCACATGTGTTGGCCCTCCTTACCTCACCCCCCTCCCCGTGTCTATCTTAAGGGAAATAAAAATATATGTCCCCATATAACTACAATCTGCTATTTTCCCTTGCAGTGATGTTTAAAATAAGACAAGAAAATGTTTTTCTCTCCTGTGTATCAGTTCCCTAAGTTGCCACAAGCATGTCCTGAGCCCACAGAGCAGGAAGCCCTGCCTGTCCAGCTATGGGATGATCTCTCCTCCTCCTCCTCCTCCTGGGTTTGGGGTGCATTTTATGGGGTGCTCACTGAGTGTCCAGCATGCACAGCACAAGGTGGGTAGCATGAATTAAAGGCGCATTTC